AGGGAAATTAAAATCCGCTCTTACTTCGAATTGAATCATTGAATAAAAAGCAGTTGCTCAAAGTAACAATTCGAGCTAAGCTTAGCTTAGGCTAACCATTTAATTATTTAACAAAACAAAACAAAAAATTTGTCTATGAATAACTCGCATGCATCTAACCCCAGATGATAGAGATAGATGTAGAGTTCCAATTTGGAGGGTGTCTAAAAATATGTACAGCTGTCAATATTTGTGGCACAGCGGGCACTAAATAATAAGAAATCAATTGTAGACATACAAAGATATCAAACTTAATTTGGCATAATGAATGTGCAGAAAAAAAGTAATCAAATTTAAGCACAGACAGTTGGTCCAAACTATCAAACGACAACTTTCTTACAACTCTGCATTTACTCGAAAATGAAAATAAGAAAGTAATCGAAAAAAAAAAACATATTTAAAAATTAACAGGAATCTGAAAATTAAATACCCTTCTAGAAATTTTGATATTTGAGCAGCATATTTTGCCATAGAAATATCGCGATAAAGGAAAAAGTTCTTCCACAAGAGCTTGATTTTCGACAGATCGTTCTTATGACAGCTTTATGATAAGGTAGTCCGATGTTGATGGAGATCTTGGTGCCAAGTTTGCTCAAAAGATCTTTATAATGACATTTTAATTCCAAGGGAACGATTGATCGAAAAGTTGGGTTTGGGTAGGCACTTTTCCAACGATCGTTCCCATTTTAGCTATATGATAAAGTTTTCCGATCTGGTTGGTTCTGATATATGCACTGCCTGCAACGGAAAGGCGGAGCTAGGCAAGGTCTCGAGATAGCTGAGAGATAAGTTCGCATTGAAACGCACGAACTGAAATTGATTTATTAACTTACTTATTTATTTAGTAACTTATTTGTTTATTTATTATTTATTTATTTATTAATGGTCGAGTGTCGTCCTAAATGCTTAAGGCCCAATTAGAATAGACAATTTTCTACTAGCATCAACGACACGACGAAGGTGTTTTATGTGCCCGTACGGCCAGCTGTGCCCCTTTTTACAGCTAATTTTGCCAGCTAAGACACAGAAATGGCTTTAACGACTCGGCTGTTGATGCTGATCTAGCATATATACATATATATACTTTATGGGCTCGGAGATGTCTCCTTCAATGCATTACGCATTTAATGTCAAAATTTTAATACCCTCTACAGGACCATAAAAAGTGCTATTAATTTTGAACCGGCGACTGCTCGCTGGTTAGTCACATGCGTAAATCAGACGTTTATGGTCGCTTTATGTCTTGAAGCTTTTCATGCGAGCATTTAGCTCCGTTCGAAGGCTGAACTTCTGTCTTAATGCTTCCTTGCGCCTAAGTTCTTCAATAAGTCAGTCAATCTGTCGGATCAACAGTTTTGTATATATAAATTATATATTGACTGCAATTGAAGAAAGGCGTTTGCCAATTGTTATTTAAGACTTGCAATATGGCAGAGTTAACTGGTCATACCTTTCTTTTGTATACATAATGGGGCTAAAGCTGGCCATGTGGCGTCTTACTGTCAACAACAGCAGAAATACCAGCAGCAGCGATTGTTGTTGACAATGTTGCAGATGTTGTTGATGTGACCTGCCGCCGCAGCAGCAGCAGCAGCAGCAGCAGTTGCAGTTGTGTAAGCGAATACTTTATGGCAGCAGCAGCTGCTGCTCACACACACACACACACACACACACACACTCACACAATTGTATTAATCACACACACACACACACATTTAAAGCAAAAACTGTTACGAAATCAAAAGCAAAAATATAAAAAAAGAGCAACTGCTGTGACGAGGACGAGGACGAGGACGAGAACGTGGACGTGGACGTGGATGTGAATGTGGACGAGGACAAGAGCTATGAAAAGCAGGCGGAACAGCCGCACGATTCTCGCTAAATCCGAATTGAAATGTTGCCGCCTCGGCTGCCATTCACAAGAACAACACAATAAACTAGCAACAACAACAGCAGCAACAATAATACATTAGTTACATTTACAGTTTTGTCAGAGTTCACGAGTTGCCAGCCGATGAGTAGCCGAGTTGAGTTAAAGTCGAGTCTGTGTGTGTGTGCTGCGTGTGTGTGTGTGTGCTGTGTGTGTGTGTGTATGTGTGTTGTTGCTGCAGCGGGGCATTTAGTTAAGTTAGCCATGAAGTGAACTCAACTGAACCGAAACACTCCCGAAATTGAGCCCGAACACGGCAACAACTACAACCAAGCGAGTGTGTGTTCCATGTGTGTGTGTGTAGGTATGTGTGTGTGTGTGTGCTTCAAGTGGTTTGTCTGCGCTGGCTTTTGGCTTTAGATTTCTGGCCAATTGTTTGGCATTTTTTGAAGAAGTCGCAACGCCAGCAGACAGCGCGAGTCTGGCCCCAGTCTCAGGACTCGACATCCAGTTCGAGTTAGCCAACTCGTCGGCCCAGTTAACAGCGCGACGACTTCGTGCGTGTGCGTCTTTCTGCCTCTCGCTCGCTCTCACTCGCTCTCTCTCCCTCTCTCTCACTCTCACACACACATACACACACTCGCGCCAGCGACTTCGTTGCTGCTGCTGCGGCTGCGACTGCGACTGCGACTGTTGGCGCTGTGGCATTGTCAACAACGCGCCGCAGAGTTCATACAATTGTGGCACGCGGCGCGTTAAGCACGTGGCTCTGACTGATAACAGTAGTGTGTGGCCATAGCAGCGGCCGTGTGGCAAGCGAGTGTGGCAGCTAAACGAACAACGAACAGTGCCGTGCGATCCGCGATACGTTCAGTCTTCTTCTCGCTTCTTTTTTTGGCAATTTTTTCCTAAGCAACTAGCAACTGCTTGTGTGTGTGTTCTGTGCGTGTGAGTGTGTGTGTGTGTGTGGCAAGCCTTATCAATGCACTACCCAACACTGTGATAAACAAGTGGCCTATCACCAAACGAAATTTTTTTTGCTTTCTTCAAATGTGCAATATGTGAAAAATGCAGTGGAATATGCATGAAAACTCATGTGTGTGCCAGCGAAGCTTCAAACAATATTAATTGACAATAAGTCAGCTTAAAAATAAATTCATTTTTTTTAATAATAACAAAATAAAAGTTTAATTAATAAACAATAAATGGACAATTTTGCGAGTGGAATTTAAAATTAAATGGAGCCAGCTAAAAATAAATAATTAAAACATTTATCAAAAATTAAAATATATCAAATTTAAAAATAATTAAAAACTTAAAAAAAAAATTAATCAAAAATAAATAAGCAAGACTTAAATAATAATTCAAACAATTTTACAAAAGTTTTTTAAAGTGTGCAAAATTAAAAAAAAAATACAAGCTCGAAAGAGATAAAATATTTTTAAACAAAAATTAAATACTTAATGAGACAGTTTTTAAAACTTAATTAAAGTATTCATCATTGAACAAAATAATTAAAAAATAAAATAAAATAAAATAAAATAAACCCCTCAAATGAGCCGTGAAATATCTGAAACAAAATTTAACAAAAAATTAGTAAATCAAAAAATAATTATCACTTTCTCTGAATATATAAATTTCAAATAATTTATAACAAAAACAATTCAATAGAAATGTGCACTTACATATTGTTAATTCAAATAAATTTATAAAAATTACTTTTTTGCTAAATATATAAAAAATTGATATGATAAAACAAACTTAACAAACAATATGCACTAAAAACAAAAAATAAACAAAATATGTAATACAAAATTGAATCAAACATTTTTAAATTAAACAAACTAATTAAAAAAATGTTTAAACATATAATTTAATGTTATGATAAAAACAAATTAAATAAAAAAATTTCCACTAAAAAATTAAAATATAATATCAAACAATTATTTAAATTTATAAACTTAAAAATTATTTAAACAAGATACGCTAAAAAGCTCAAGACTAATTGAAAAATATTAAAAAAAAACAATAAAAACTTAAATAACACTACATAAAAAGTAAATATTTAAAATTTAATTAAATATAAAAGAAAAGTACACAAAGTAACAAACGAAGAATTTATTGTCAACTTATAAATAAAAACTAAACAAAATATATTGTCAACTTTTAAATATAAACATAAAGAATAAAAAATAAAAAAATTATGCAATTTATAAGCATTTTGGAAGCACTTAAAAATACTAGATATTGCTTTTAGTTGTTTAAAAACACGCTCAATATCAATAATTATACACAAAAATAGTTCAAAATTTTGCATCAATTGGTTTCAACAAACGCACAACAATGAGTGCAACAAATGGCAGCAACAACAACAATAACAACAGCAGCAGCAGCAGCAACAGCAACAACAATGGCAACAGCAATGGCAATGAGCGCGGGCGGGAGCAACAGCCGCGACCAACAGCAACAGCAACCAGCACCAACAGTCGTCAATTTGTTGACATTGCAACAGCGACAACAACAACAGCAACAACAACAGCTGCAGCACGGCCCGCTACAGCGCCAGAACGCAGCCGAAGCAGCAGCAGCAACAACAACAATAACAACAACGTTAGCCTGCCGCTGAGCAGCAGCAGCCAGCACAACAAGAACAACAACAACAGCAACCAGCACCACCAGCACCACCAGCCCAGCAACAACAATCACAACAATAGCGAGAGCAGCAACAGCAGCAGCCTTGTGGTTAGCGGCATTGCCGCCACTGGCAACAGCAACAGCAGCAGCAGCAGCAATCAGACGGCTGCAACAATAGCACAGAGCAGCAGCAACAACAATCACATCTATGTAAATCCGTACAGCTATGACAGCAACAGCACCACCGGCACCGGCACCGGCACCGGCAGCGGCAACATTAGCGGCTCCACGGCGATCATGTTGCCGCTGCCGTTGACCTTGCAACTGCTGCCCGACAGCAATCAGAGCAGCAGCAATGGCTTCAGCCTGGGCGCCATCAGTCGGCCGGGCACGACATCAACGCTCAGCACGCTGAATACATATCTGTTTCCGTGTGGTGCCGACTCGGCCGGCACCATCGGTGGCGGCACCTTCAACGGCAGCGCCAGCTGTGATCTTGACAGCAACTTTAGTCAAATGGTTGCCGGCGGCGGCAGCGAGGCGGGCAGCTCATCCACGCACAGTCCCTGCCCGCTGCCCTTTGGGGCTGGCATCGGCGGCAGTGGTGGTGCGGGTGGTGCAGCTGCAGCTGCTGGTGGTGGTCTAGGACTTGCTGTCAACTTTGGTGGCTTCATCAATAAGCGGCGCATACGCAAATTGTTTGGCGTTGGCGGCGCATCCAATGGCGATGGCTTTGGGCCCTATGGTGCAGCGCTGCGGCGGCGCAGCTCACACCTGGTGCAGTTTCACAAGAAGAAGCAACAGCTGGAGCAATTGGAGCAGCAGCAGCGCATCGCGACCGTTGCCTCGGCGAATGCGGCCTTTTTGGAGCGCCGGGAGCAGCAACAGTTGCAACAACAGCAGCTGCAGCAGCAGTTGCAGCTGCAACAGCCGGCAATGCTGCAGCTGCAACAGCAGCCGGAAAAGAAGAAGAAAAAGAAACCACCCGGACCGCCGGCCCAGGTGCGGCAACAGGCATCACGCACCATGGACGATCCGCTGATGAATCGGCCGCGCAAGAGCACGCCGCAGGCCAACAAGAAGAAGGACAAGGAGCGCGACAAGGACAGGGACAGAGACAAGTACAAGGACTATGGCTATGAGAAGTACCCAAAAGCACAAATATATTAGATAACCAACAAAAAAAACAAAAAAAAAAACCAAAAACACCTGCCAATTAGCCAGCTAATGTATATGTATCTATAGTACATTTTTTGGTTTGGTTTCAAGTTTCTCTCTTCTTTGGCTTTTGTTCGACTTTTCATTTCCATTTTTCTTTTTCCGGCTCTTTGGTTCGCAACAATTTCAATAAATGTTCTTCCAAAGCATATCCAATGACTTTTTCTTTGCTATTTTTTTTTTTTTTTACATCTTCTACCGGCTTCAGCTTCAGCTTCAGCTTCTACTCAGCCCGCGCGCATTCAACACAACTATGAAATATAATCAACTTAATCACGAAAATAATTTGGCTTTGCACAGCTTTTCTATAGAGTTTGGATTTCTGCTTTGCAAATACATGTGCTTATCTTGCAATTAAGAGTTTATTGTCAGCGATTAGAGCTAAAACGGTTGGATTCGAACCAGCTTGCTGCTTTTGCGTTTTGGTTCGTGAACCCGCTTTAACACAGACATGCGACCAGGCTTTGGCTTAACCCTGGCCTTTTTATATATTTTCACATATTTTTAAGACAAATATGATCGCTTTACCCATATTGAGATTCATGTAAATGGTTCGGGCTCAATTTTAATTAGAGTCTTGTGATCAAAAAGACTTTTAACTTATTTCCAACTTAATGAATACGTTTTGAATTCCACGCGCAACTTTGATAAATTGGCGGAAAGGGGTTGTATGAAATTTTTTGTTTACGTTGCGATTGGTTTCTGAATAATTTACAGATTTCTTTGTGATAATGATATGTGTTTCACTTTTCGATCCACCGAAATGAACGAAAGTTTATTTTTCGGCTTTAAAACTTATGAACACAAGACGAAGTTGGGCGGAATTCAGGAAAGTATGGGTAGATTTAAAGTGTCTACGGGTGGGAAAATTGAAAATGGGAAGCTCTTCTTTGATTAATATCAAATATCTGAAAAACCAATTCTGCGACCTCCATAAATGTTGTTACGCAAATGCTTCGATAATTGAAGAACATAAAGAACTTTGTATACTCTCACCTGGAAACTCACACAGCGACAATTAAGACATCAAAAGCTGGGCTAGGTATGATCAGAACGAGTCTGTTTTGGGTGCAGCTCCTTACTCTCAATGGGGGCATATACAGTTTGAGCAGCCGGACAATGTGGCGTATGCGTAATGGCAGCGACTGCAAATGCGACGGGTTCAACATGCCAAGTCTGGAGTCAATGCCCTGTCGCAGTGAGGCAACGACTCCAAAATGCCAGTCACTTCCGCCTATTGCCAGTCAGTTTTTTTTTTCTTCTGCTTCTTCTTCTTCTTCTACTGCTTGTTTTGCCTCTGACTCTTTGCTCGTTGCTTTTTAGACAGATTTTGCAGACGGCGCCGTCGGCGTCGCCAAAACTCGCAAAATCGCACAAATTTCCAATTCGTTGCCAGAGTCAGCAGCACAAATAAAACGAATGTGCGTAGTCATCTGTGCGACTAACTGGAGCCGGCATAACTCAACAGCACACACACACACAAACACACACAGACACACACACACACACAGGAAGACTGACACGTACACAAGCTGTTGGGAAATGCTTCATTACGCATACGCCGTGTTGCATAAGACGAATAACTGTAATTAATATGCATAAATATGTGCGCGTATGTGTGTGTGTCTGTGTCTGTGTGTGTGTGTGTGTGCGTGCGAGCGCGCACTTGAGCACGTGTTTGTGTGCGTGTGTGTGTGCCATAAAAGCTCAAGGTCAAAGTCAAATGCCCACAGAGCACAGGTGCAAATTGTTTTAATGTAATTTGAAGGCTGTCCCAAAAAAATTATATTTATTTAATCCATTTCTCAACTAAGACTCGCAGTTTTTCCAAGCTTCGAAGCCTATTTAGAATTGTGAAATATGTTTATTAAATACTTTATGAACTTTTCAGACTTAAAACATGAAAGCTGTCTCAGAAATCGTTCAAAGGAATGAAAGACGAAAATCAAATACCCTACTACGTACATTTTGCCTGGAAAGCAACTTTGCCCCTATATCAAATCCTTCTTTCCGATTGTGCCTTTCAGAAGCATGTGATATTAATGCAGACCCGACTGCTGATGCCCTTCCCAAAAGGCTTATTTCTCAGCTCGTAGACGTCTTCTTCTATGCGTGGCATACAGCTTGACAAAACTAACATGCCCTCATACAAGCGTATAAAAGTATTCGCACGTTACGTGACGGACAGGGAATTGGTTTTTTGCCTGCAGAAAATGTATTTTTGTAACAGCTGAAAAAAAAAGCTACTCCAAATGAATAATTGTGTCGTGATTTGTTTTTTTTTTTTTTTTGGTTGTTTGTTATTTTTTTTTTTGTTTATTATTTTTCGTTTTTTATTGTAGCCCCAAAATTGTGCTTCACGTGCCACACATTTCGTGACATATTTTTGTGTTCATATTTTACTCGTGATTTTTCTTTTTGCCTAACATCAATTTGTTATGTTGTTCAAATATTTTTTGAGGAAAAATGTCAAAAAACATTCGGTACGCGATTTTAACGTTGCAGTTATTTGTTTAATAATTTGATGAATTATTATGTTAGTTTTTTAAGTTGGGGAAAGCTGTTCTGTTTCTAAGGTTCAGCTAAACACAGATAGAAGCAATGCTTGAGAATTTAAGCGAGTTTTCATGCTTTTCTAGAGGGTGTTATCATTTTGTCTTTTTATTTTTTTATTCTTTATTCTTGACCGGCAACAGCTGTCGAGTCTATGTAGCCAGATGAGTGTGGAGCTCAGTTCTTAAGCCTACTTTCTGTTTCAGAACAGATCGAAGCACTATATCCTATAGCATACCATCAAGGAAGTCTGTCATGTGAAAAATCCTGTTAAATCAGTCTACGATATCGTATAACTCCCATGCTCAATCTCAATCAACTGTTCAGTCTAATCTCTTGAAAGTGTATTCAATCTTCGACATGCCAAAGTTGTCTCGTTTTCCTTGTTATTACCTAAGCTGCTGGCCAAAGGCTTTCCCTTTACATACTCGCCCGAAACCTGCTCTGCCGTTATGCCAGTCGATTTTCAGCATTTTTTCTTACAATAGGTTTCCCTAACTTTTCATCCCGCAGCTGAATTCGATTTTCGCATTAAGCGAAAAAATTTACCTCGTTGCGGCGTTGAATGCCATTTTCTTGGCCATTTTCGTGCGCTTTTCGACGCATGTATTATATGCATGCGTGTGTGTGTGTTCATATTTTCTTTTTAATGCTATGTGTAGCTTATTTCGTATTTATGTAATGTGTCACACGAGCGACAACAGCAACAACAGCAACAAAATTGTAGAGCTGAGCAAAAGAAATAAAATGAAAATAAATGGAAAATATTGCGAGAAAATTGCTTTAATATGCCTTGCGTGTGCATGTGTGTGTGTGTGTGTGTGTGTGTGTGTGTGTGTGTGTGTGTGTGTATGTGTGTTGCCTTTGTGTCGTGTGTCGCGTGTGTTGTTTGCCCTTTGCATTGTTTATATGTTCTTGTTGTTGTTGTCGTTGTTGTAGCTGCTTTGTTTTTGCGCGTTTCTCGGCTGCTTCCGTTGCTGCCATTTGATTTGGCCAACCAGAATTTATGTCAATGCCACAGCAACAACAGCAATAATAACAACAGCCGGCAACCAGCAATAACTAACATATTACGTGTGTGTGCGTGCGTGTGTGTGTGCGTGTGTGTGTGTGCAGACATGCAAAACAAAGTCAAACTCCGAATTGTGTTTCGCGTCTGGCGAACATTACGCTGCAGTTTAAGTTAATTGGCAACGCCAACACAGCCAGCCACGCCTACAACGCCCACACACATACAGGGGCAGAGCAAAGGGTACATCGGTCGGTTCGTAGGGGAAGGGGGGCGCGCTGTTGCTGCTGACCCCCGACAACTTCAGGCGACAAAGAATCAAAGACCAAAAAAAAAAAAGAAAGAGAAAAACATGCGACACGACTTGAAGCCGCCATTTGAATGGCTCGGCAACTTGTACGCCCACCGCAACCTCGCCCATTTGTTGTGGAGAGTAGTGGGCGGGGCTGGGCTGGGGAGGGGGGGGGGGGGGGGGTGGTTTGTGTGTTGGTTGTGGGGCAGCGGCAACATGGGCCAAGTGCCCTTGATTTGTGTGCACGGCATGTGGCGGCGTGTTGACTATTTGCATTGCATGTCAGCGGCGCAGCGTGTGTGCCATTATGAGTGTGTGCCAGTGTGCATGTGTGTGTGTGTGTGTGCGAGTGTGCAATAGAGTGTTTATATGTGCGTGAGTATGTCCATGTGTATGTCCAATAATTTCGTAACATGGCCTTTGTGGCGATCTTTGTGGTGCGATAAGCAGCAAAGCCAAGCTAAAACAAAAAAAAAAAAATAATGAAATGCATCTGAATGACCGACTATGTGATACCCTTTAAGACCTTGCAGGCAGCCTCAGCTGAACTTTAAGCCAACCAGTTCTAGCTCCCAACTTAACTGTTTGTATTTTGTAATATGTAATATTATTATCAAATATTACGTCCGCCACATTATACATCAATTTCCCAACTAAAACAATCGAATTGCTTTCAACAATCATAGCTTATATGGACCACAACAAGCTCTGTGTTTTACAGGGTATTAAAAGCGGCACACAAAATGAAATTTCAACGCCCAGTCGCAACTTTATTTTGCACTTTGTAGCTGTTGGCTAATTACATGCGAAGAGTTTGGGTTGTTTGGTGGCATTTTCGTGTTTGGCCTGGTTGGGGGTGGGTCGGGCTGGGCGGGGGATAGCTACAATAGGGAATTGCTTTGCTGGAGGCCTTTGGCGAGGTCGCAAGGCAGTGTGGGCGTGGCAGTTGCAAGTGCACAGCCAACTCCCCAGGCCCCCATCCCCTGCCAGAGTTGGCAGCTGATTTGCATTTTTCAACGCCTCGAAGCTCTATCAATAACACTATCGAACACTTTTTTAAATCGATAAATCGA